GTTAGAATAGACCTTTAAGGTTACTTCTACCAACCATGAAATTCCCATTCCCACATTGCCTTCTACTTTTTGTAACTTCTGTCTTATTTCAGGGGCACTTTGCCCTATGAATATCATATTCACCATACGAGTGTTTTCAGGTGCCTCAGGATTTAGATCAGTAAATTGTCTGAAAACCATGAAAACTTGTTCCAGGAAGGTGGAGGGGCCTTTCTCCAGTTTTTGTTTGACTTCATACACTTTATTTAAATAATTTTGCTTGGTTGCCCCATTTTTGAGCCCAGTGACCAAGCAGTCATGGTACTGACTTAATCTGGCTCAGCTGGTCTGGGTGTTTGGGTCTCAACCTGGTTCAGTGGCTGGTATAGCCAAATCTACGGGGTCCTGGCCATTGGCATTTTTGTTAGTGGAGCCTATCTCCTTCCCTGGCCTTTTCAAAAACCATTGTCCTCTCTTCTGGAGTAAAATGTCACATAAGGCTTGACAGTCTGCCCAACTTATGTAGTGGGTTTTAAAAACAGAAGCATTTGCTTAGGATACTCTTAGTATGCTGGTAGATTGTTTTTCCAATTGAATCAGTGAGAAGTTGTGAATGGGCTATGTACCCAGAACATGGCCGGGGCTCCTGCTGCCCCGTTCTCATGTTTACATGGCATAAGGAGTTGCCTCAATGGGTATAGCCCTGTTGAGTGTCCTGGGGCCCTTGGATCGAATCAGGTGCCACTTTGAGTGTGCACCAGGGAAAGTATCTCAGCACCAGAGGCCTCAGAGGCTGTTGGAAGGTTTACAGGATGAGAGGGAGATCTAGATCTAGAACCTCTGGTTAAAACTGGGTCCTCTTCCAGAGGACTAGACAAAACAGGGGTTTTAACCTCAGTTTGAACCATGATTTTGCACTGTTTGCAAACTCTTATTTTGCCACAACGACATAAAAGCTTCATCACACATTTTCTCATCCCTATTTCCTTCTTTAGTACAGAACAACTCTAACTGCAGTATGGTATTATAATTTAAGGATCCATTCTCAGACCAGTGTTCACCATCAGTGAGTCTGTATTGGGGCCAGGCAGTGTTACAAAATAATTTCATTTTAGACCTTTAGTGAAAAGGGATCATATTCAAAATAAGAACAATTCTTCAGAACATACCCTAATGGACTACATTCCAGAATGCTTGAATTATTTCCCATGGCACTAAAACCTGAAACTACAGACATCCACTTAAAACAAAACTATTTGACCCTACCTTCACTGGCTAAGCATTACCAGAATCTACAGTCTGTCTACTTTCTACAGTGGACTTGTTTCTGTACTGAACCTGGAGATGCAGATGCCTATTCTAAACAAAAATGTTTGACCCAATCTTCACTGGCTAAGCACTACCAGATCTACAGTCTATCCATTTTCTGAATAGGATTTATTTCTGTTCTCACGAAGGGAGTCTTTTCCCTCTTACTGGAGTACCTGATACTGTTCTCTCTCCTCCTCATGTAGTCCATCTCCGAAGGGTCTGAGGTCAGCTATGGTCTCAAAGGCTGAAATGAGTCTCCCCTGGAGAAAGGTTACTGGTGTGCACTGGAAGAAGAAGTCAGTTCCCATCAGCTGGAGGTGATCTAAGGAGCCAGGCATCACTGATCCCACCTGGGGTCACCAGAATTTGTTACCCTATGTAGGTCCTGCTCGGTGTGGCTTCTCATCAATAAAGACACATTGAGGTGAGTAAGGAGGAAAAGTGTTTATTGCAAGTGCGCGGACAAGGAGCATGGAGGTGTATACCTCAAATCAAGCTCCCCAAACAAAGGGAGGTGGAACCTTTTATACCATCCTTCACAAGGAAGTACAAACAAACGTTTTGGACTACATAGGTTATCATTGCGCCCAGGTGCAGTAAGACAAATTGCATTTTTTTCCATTAATATCTATAGAAAAAGGAGGATAAGTCCCACCCCAGGTAGAGATTTTAGTATTCAATTAGGTCTTAATGAGGCTTAGGCTACTTTAGGACACTTTTGAGGCTAGTAAACTGATTTTGACTGGTTTTGGTTGATTTAAGGCAGAAGCTGAGTTACAGGCAGTGCTCAAGGTCTTGATGACAATGGACAGGAGGAGCAGGTCTTACCTGATAGTGGCTGAGCAGCTGCTGTCTGCGCTTGCTATCAGTATGACTAACGTTTTGATTTTGGCCGTTTCTTGTTTTTTGATGTGTTTACTGCTATAAATTGACCTCTGAGCATTGGCTTTACTGTTTACTAAAGGTTTTGATGTGATGTGTCTTTATTCTCATTCGATTCTGGGAATTTTTTTGATTCCATCTTTGATTTTTTCTATCACCCAGTTGTTTTTAAGCAAGGTGGTATTCAGTTTCCATGTATTTGATTTTTTTCCCATTGTTTTTCCTGTTTTTGATTTTTACTTTTATGGTGTTGTGATCAGAGAGAATGCTTTGTATTATTTTGATGTTTGGACTTTATTGAGGGTTGCTTTGTGGCCTACTATGTGATCTATTCTGAAGAACGTTCTACGTGCATTGGAAAAGAACGTGCACTTTGCTGCTGTTGGGTGGAGTGTTCCCTAGGAGATTCTTACCTTTCTCCATCACCTTTGTCTTTCCTAAAAGAGAGCCTATATTCACCACCTCAGTGGCTGTTAAAATTTTTGCCACTACTATTGCCACTAACTACTGTATGAAATACTGCAATCCCAGTGTCATGGTTTGAATTATGTCCCCCCAAAAAATGTGTGTATCAATTTGGCTAGGCCATGATTCCTGGTACAGTGTGATTTTCCTGTATGTTGTAAACCTGCCTCTATGATGTTAATGAGGGAGGATGGGTGGCAGTTGTGTTAGCAAGGCAGGACCTGATCTACAAGACTGGATTGTGCCCTGAGGCAATCTCTTGCGATATAAAAGACAGAAGTAAGCAGTGAGACAGGCGGACCTCATACCATCAAGAAAGCAGTGCCGGGAGCAGAGCGTGTCCTTTGGACCGGGGTCTCTGCGCCGAGAAGCTCCTAGTCTGGGGGAACACTGATGAGAAGGCCGAGAGAGAGAAAGCCTTCCCCTGGAGCCGACACCTTGAATTTGGACTTTTAGCCTGCTTTACTGTAAGGAAATAAACTTCTCTTCATTAAAACCATCCACTTGTGATATTTCTGTTGTAGCAGCTCTAGATGACTAAGACACCCAGTATACATATATACATACACGTGTGTATATCCGCATATGAGTACACATATATGTATATATGCAGATATCCATATACACACACATGCATACATAGATATCTTTGCAATACTTAGAATACATATATCCAATACAGACCTTTACAATTTGCAATGCATTATAAATTTATGTACTATTCTGGTCTAGTTTACTCTACGCTTTTCTTTTTAATCATGATTGCAATCTACTAATGTAATGACCATTCACAATCTGAAAAATGCTTCATGTCTCACAAAACACTCTCTGATTTTGTCTAAGGCCTGTACCAATTCCCTCCATGCCTCATTCTTTCCATCCTCTGTGTATCACTCCTCAGTTTTCATGCTCTTCCACTCTGCATATATTCACGTTGTCTCCATTTTGAAAGCCTTACAGGCTTATCTAATTTCTGATTGACACGTTGAACATTTGAGACAATTATCAGTTCCTGTTTTATTTTATTTTTCTGTACATTATCTCACTCCTTTACTAAATTGTGAAACTCTGGAGAATAGCAACTTTATTGTGGTCCGTGTTGTACCCCTCAAACTTTATTCACAAAGTGTTTTTAAAAATTAAAGCACCCCGTTTATTTTTCTCTTTCAAAATTTAGCCTTGTATTGACACAGATATGGGAAATATGGTTGAGATTTTTTTTTTTGTAAATAAATATGGTAAGACTACTATAATAGAAATATGGTAAAACCTACTTTCACAAAATAAAAAGACAATGTTTAAAGTGGCAGAAGTCCTTATTCCACTAGAGTTTGAATCCTATTCAAAAACTGTTAAAGTCTGTGTGTGTCAGTGTTGTACAAAAGCATAACCATAAAATCGTGCAGAAATAAATATTCTCATCAATAAACAAGTGCCTAAAATTAAAACCTAAAATAAATGGGAATATGCCTATTTCTGTTTTCTGTAATAGAAATGTAGCAACATGCAGTACTCGGGGCTATTGGGTCATTTTGTTTGTTGACTGGTTAGCTTTTAGCCACATTATCCATCAGGTAAAGAGAAAAATTTTACAGTAAAGAAAGACATGAAAAAGGTTTTCAGCTGTGTTGACAAGGGATAACTTCCGGCCTGGCCTTTTGTATTTCAGTTGCATAAAGAGCGTATCTAGTATTTACTGGTTGTGTTTCCAGACACTCTTCTAAGTATTCCACCTGCGTTATTTCATTAAATCCTCGCAGTAACTCGTTAAGGTGGTTAATAATATTATCCCCTTTATTTAGATAAAAATATGATGTATGGAGACGTTAACTCGCGCTACACTAAAAGGGTTGTAAGGAAAGAGTCCCAGGATTCGAACGCATAGTTTGATTCTTAGGGCTTGCAAAAGTCACTATCAGGCTATTCTGTCCCATCTACGATTCACATAACTTCATGTCCTAAATGTGACTAAAGCGTATACGTTCTTTGGCTCACTCCCCATCTGTAGATAAAGCCTCTCACTTCACTGACAATGGCCAGGGTCTTGGAGTCTGGGTGGGAGCTAGACAGTCCTGTCTCAGCGCTGGAGGCGGGTAGCGCATCCCTCTCTCAACACCCAGTGGGGTGGTGTCAATTTCTTCACGAGGGTGGTTGCCCCAGCGACGCGTCTCGCCAAAAAATCGTGAGAGTCCCTTAGCGGTAAAGAAGTCACTTCCTCCCGGAGACGCTGTTTCCTTAGCAACCGTCTCCCACTTCCGTTTTTAGTCCCGCCCCCTTGCGGAGTCCAGAGCCAGGTCTCCGACCGCTGCCCGGCCAAGGCAGAAGCGCGGGCCCGGTTGGAGGCTAGCCTTCGGTCTCCAGCCCATGGGGAGCTCGCCGCAGAAGTGGCAGGGTTGGGTACAATACGCGGGGACTTGAGGCGTTGCGAAGGAGCGGGGCCGGAGATGTGCGCGGGTGAGCACGGGCCTGGTGTGTGCTCAGGCGCTTAGGCGGGCAACTGGGTGCGGAGCGGGCGGGGACGCGGGCACCATCTGGCCGGGCCGGACACAGTCGGCCTGGCGCGCGCTGCTGCGGACGGCGAGGCGGCCGAGCCCCGAGCCTCTTCCCTGAGAGCGCGAGAGACCCTCACGGGCCCACTTATACAGTGATTTTAATGCAGACCGCCTGGAATGCTTCGTTTTGTGTTAGGTAGCGCTGTTAACACTTCTGTGAGACGAAGGAGTAGCTTGAGAAAAATAAGGGAACGCTGTAGTTTGATATTATGATTTTCACCCGTCAGTAGCGCTGTATGCGAGCAGTGTTTTTTTGTGTTGCAAAGTCTCACTTGTTTTTTGTGTATTTCAGTCACCATCAAAGTTGAATTATTTGAATAATTGATTATACATTTCATATATGTAAAGAGTAAAAAGTAAAATCACACTATGTCTGATGAAGTTTTTAGCACAACTTTGGCATATACGAAGAGTCCAAAAGTCACCAAAAGAACTACTTTCCAGGTAAAGTATTTCAAAGCCCTTTTGTTTTTCAGTGATTTTGCGATTTATACACTGTCTTAGGAATGATGGACTTGAAGGGATTCTAGAAACAGTGCATATATAAAGGAAGAATGCATCTGATCATGTTTGGGCTCCAGTACTGCAATTGCTCATGCATAGTTTAAGACTACCAAATTAGCTCAGTGTTAATGTTATTACTGAGTTAAATGTTAAATCAACTTTTAAATTGCTGTTTTCGGGTAGAAATATAAAACCTTTTTTTGAGGAGTGGGGGCTGGAACATGACATTTAAGTTTTCTCATTTGGGATTATCCCCATTTTGAACTAAGTCTCTAAATTTGCAGTATTGATTATGTCCTTTTTTTTGCAATATGCAACAGAAGCTCTTAAAAAGTGCCAGTTTCTTTCACAATACCAGTTTATAGGAAATCCTGTCTAAATTGAGTTCTACTTGTTTATTACTCTCTAGTTATAATTAGAACACATATAACTTGTAATTCCTTTATTCGATGTAGTCCGTTCCCTTCTGTTAAGCTCGATGTGGGTAGGGATCTTGTCTGTCATGTTCTGCATTGATTTTGAGGGTTTGGGTGCCTGGCATAAAGTAGGTTTTCAGTGGGTGTTTGTTAGATGAATGAAACCTAAGTTTGAAGGCAGTCATTAATTAAGCATTATCTGTTCAGATAATGAATTCTAAATATGAGACCTCTAAGTTCGGATGGGAATTGATTTTAGTTATCTCATTTCAGGATGAACTAATAAAAGCAATTACAGCTCGCTCAGCCAGACAGAGAAGCTCTGAATACTCAGATGACTTTGACAGTGATGAGATTGGTATGTGAGAATATGGAAAAGTAAACCACTTTTCTGCTTTTGTCTTCCTTTGTTACATTTAGACTGTCAAAAAAATCACTTAAAATACAGATTATTATATTATAATACAGATTATTTCACTGGATAGTGACTTGCAACTTTTTAGGAGTAAAATGCCACTCTTAGTCTTCAAGAAGTTGTATGATTACCCTTGGTTGATTCTGAATGTGTATGTGGAAATGAAAATCAACTGACAGCAAGTTTGCAGCAAAGAGATGACTGTCATTGATAAATGACCTTGGAAATGACAGATTTGGTTTTAAGGTCAACCTTCTGGGGTCTTCTACAACTAGATGGTAGGTAACTAGGGACCACAGAACTAACCTCGGTACACATCAGAATCACCTGGAATGTTTGATAAATCCGATTCTTTGGCTCTAACGCAAGTGATTTGGATATAGGAAGTCAGTTAAAAAAAAAAAAAAAGACTTCCAGTTTTGTATGCAGTACATTTATGATTTAATTATTTGATTCATTGCAGTTTCGTTTTATTTGTTAAGAATATTAACATTTTAGCCTTCATGTGTTAAAAATCTTCCATTTATAAATATTTTTGATTTTATATGATAAAGTTTTATGCAAGTAAAAGTTAAAAGAGTTCAGTGTCTGATTTAAATGTCCCAGGGCCGATTGTTTGAGCACCGCTTAGATGACTTTTCCCAGAGCAAGCACAGGGCTTAACATGTTTTAGGCACTCGTTAAATGTTTTTTGAATAAATTGATAACATTGAAATTTTTATCTCATAAACACCAGTAAAAACTGTCTAACTTAGCTGTTTTCTAGAGCTATAGATCTGTTTCTAAAATAAGTTTGTACCTATTCATGCTTGTGAATTCATTTCTGGTCTTTAAGGCTATCTTACTTATTTTGATTAACGTAACTTTGTTGTTGTTAGCTGCAGTCTAGTTGGCTCCTGATTCATGGTGACCCTATGTGTGTTTAAACATTTTAAAATATGCCATTGAAAATGTTTTTTTCTTTTCATTTTTTAGTGTCCTTAGGTGATTTCTCTGATACTTCAGTAGATAAAAATTCAGTCAAGAAAAAAATGAATGATTTTCACATGTCAGATGATGATGAAAAGAATTCTTCAAGACTGTCTTTTTTGAAAACCAAGAAATCAAACAGTGACATAATCAAAGGTGAGCCAGTATCCTCTGTCAGAAACGATGAGGAAGTAGCACCTGATGGTGGTGAAGACACTGTTGTAAATTCCTTTTCTGAGCCTCAAAATAAAAATCAGGAAACTGAAAAAGAGAAAATGAAAGTGAAACCAAAATCTAGAATTCTTTCCAATCCAAAGCATATCTTCAGGTAATTTATTTGGTTCAGGTAGTAACTTCTATTATGATTGTATTTCTTGAAAATGTATTTAAAATAATGAGTCACAAAATATCTTTATGTGATAGATATTTCATATTTTGTAAATATAGGGGAAAAAATTCAGGACTTAAGCTTTTCAGTTTTACAGACAAATCAAAATAACAGAACATTAGAGAAAACCAATAATTATGGTGTCCAGTTGTTAAATTATACTGGTGCCTGATAGAATGCCAGAGCACCTTTCAGTCATCTGTAATTGCAGCTCCAGAAACACCTAGGCACATGAGCTTCAGTTTTGCTTTTGGGATAGAATTACAATGAAATCCTTTCTAATCCACTTCATAATCCGGAGATTAGTTATAGCAACACTGAAATTAGTCCTTAAAACAATGATTTCCATACCAGCATTTTGCCAGAAATTTTTTGCCATTTGTATTATTTGAAGGGAGAGAATTTTGTTGTTGTTAAAGAAAAAGAATTCTCCATATGGTCTCTGTTCCTTAGGAAAACCCACTAAGACTCAGTTTTCTGAGGGGAAGTTCCTGGTATGATCTGGGATCACAGTAGTTCTCATCACAATTCCACTGAGCTTCTGGCTCAGGGGAGCGAAGGTGGATTGGAGCAAGGACCAACTCCTCTGAAGTCCCCCTAGGCTACCACACAGAAACATGCGCATGTAAAGTCTTCCACTCTTATTTCTGCTGTATAGAAGATCAGTGCTGGTAAATATTTTACGGGACATTGGTGGCTCAGTGATAGAATTCTCATCTTCCATCCTGGAGACCTGGTTCAGTTCCCAGCCAGTGTGCCTCATGTGCAGCCATAACCTGCCTGTCACCGGAGGCTCGCATGTTGCTATGATGCTGAGCAGATTTCAGCAGAGCTTCCAGACTAAGAAGAACTAGGAAGAAAGGCCTGGTGATCTACTTCTGAAAATCAACCAAGGAAAACCTTGTGGATCACAAAGGTCCAATCCCTAACCAATCATGGGGATGGTACAGGACCAGCAGTGTTTCATTCTGTTGGGCATTGGGTCACATGAGCTGGGGGCCAGCTCAACAGCAGCTAGCAACAACAACAAATAGTTCATAGTTTGCATATTGGATGTTACTGGTTAAAATCAGACAAAACTATTTCAGACATGTATTTGTATAAAGTTATTTGAAGAAATGTCTAAATACATTACTAAAACTTGTTGCTGTCAAGTCGTTTTCAGCTCATAGCGACCCTAGAGACAGGGTAGAACTTCCCTATAGGGTTTCCAAGGAGCAGCTGGTGGATTCGAACTGCCGAGCTTTTGGTTAGCAGCCGAGTTCTTAACCACTGTACCACCAGGGCTCCAAATACATTAGGTATTTGAATAGTGTAGACATAGGAAAAAAAGAATTGGTGCCAGTCCTTATTCCACTGTGTATTAGTTATGTGTGACCTTGGCATATGGGTTAAGCCTGACTGTCCACAGGAGGAGGATAAAACCTGTTCTTGTCTTACAACAACGTTTTGAGAATTGAAGTATGTCTCAAACTTGCTACAAAAATCCACACAAGGCAGGATAAATATGACTTGCAAGATTGTACCTTCCCAGTGTAGTGCGTGGAATCAAAGATGGGAGAAAAAGGAAACGTAATTTAACTTGGGTAAACCCAAGGGTTGAATCCAATAATTCAGCATTTCCCAAAATACGTTCCACAGGTTGTTCATGGTATTACCGGAAAACATAGGGTTTAAAAAAAATTAAACTAATTTCTTTATGACAGAACTCCTTTGAGCTTTTAATGACATCTGCATAGTGAATCTTCAAAAAGGGTAGAATCGGCAGTGTTTCCTGGTTTTATTTGAGCTTAAAAACTTATTTCTGTGGATTGTGTTTTTTCTGATTTACCTTGATTCTAAAAAGGCTTCATTAGATCAGTAAGAAAAATGTGAACATATAGCACCTAAACATATGTCTGAGACGGGTGGCAGTGTATAATTAAAAATTTGTAGTAGATAGCAAAGTAATTATCTGTATGATACTTTAAAAAATAAAAACAAAAAAGTTATGAATTAAACCAGCAGATGGCACCAGGATTCTAAATATTTTACATAAATTTGCAATTCAATATTTTTAACAATCGTTAGCTATTTGGTATCCAGTATATATAATATAAAATAATTACCTAAATAGATAAATATTTGGTTATAAAACAAAGCATTCAAAAATATATAGGCTTTTTTTTTTCTTTCTGAGAACTTGACAATACTTTTGGAAGTGGAATTTTGGTGTAAGATGTATTAGAAGTCATATTTTCGGGCTTTTCAGCCTGGAGAATAAAAATAGAGGTTAGTGCTCCTAAGATAGCTCCTGGCACATAGGATTCATTGAGTACCACTTTCGTGGGATGTATGTTCATTCAGTTACGTTTTCTGCTTGTATAACTGGTTGAAAGTGAAGACATGGGTGTGTGCCACAAAATACTGTTTTTACAGGGACAGGGTATTGTATTAGGTGTTCCATTCTGGAGGCGTGATTATGCAAAACTTTTCTCTCTTTTGGCTTTTGTACAGTGAGATAAGCCTTATAAGTATATTTCTGGGTGCCTTTGGGTTATTTGGGAGTTGGCGTTTCTCTCGATGATTTCAGGTGCACATGAATGCTGCGTTTCAGGCGCCATACATTGTACGCACCTGTCAAGGGATCTGGAAGGCGATGGAGAGTCCAGAGGGATGTATGTGCCCCACAGAGCCCTACCCCCAGAGTCCAGAGGGACATGTGTGCCCCTCAGAACCCTACCCCCAGAGTCCAGAGGGATATATGTGCCCCACAGAACCCTACGCCAGAGTCCGGAGGAATATATGTGCCCTACATATTATGTATCAAAATCCATATTTTGTAAAAAAATTTCATAAATGCTACTTGATTCAGCATGCCTTCCATCAATAAAAACACATGGTATCAACAAAAAATTCAAAGCAGAAAATAACTGGGTCATGAAAGGGGTATTTGAATGAATAAGTGAATGTATGAATTATTCATTTATGGAGGAGGAAATGTGGTTCTTGAGCTTAGCTTTATCCTCAAAATTCTTAGACTTTAAAAAAATTTTCTTACAAAGTTTGGAACTTCATTTTTTTTAATGGGGTGAGATATTGCTGAACAGCAATTAATGCTTCACAAAAATGTTAGAACTTGGAGGTTCTCTTTGTTCTTGCTTGTCTCTTGTAAAATGTGGAATAACCAGACTTCCACTTTATAGAGCAACTGTCAGATGGATAGTGATTGCAGACAGCAGTTTTTTCAGGGTGAATTGATTTTCTTTCAATATTAAAATGATGAAAAGCATGACCTTTGGAGTCAGAGTACATCTGCTTTAATCCGAGATTCACCACTTACTTACTGGAATTTGTGACCTTGGGCACAAGACCTCTTTGTTCCTCATTCTACTCATCTGTAAAATGAGAATAATAGTTGAACCTCCCAGGGATTGAAAGCAAGTGATTTCATATATTTAAAGTGTTTAGAATAGTCTTGGAGTGTATTATGTACAATATAAATGCTTTTATTATTATTTGGCATTTGTTTATAAGCAGATCATTTATTCACACATTTATTGTGACTATTCTATGTTATACTATATTACAGGGACTGTACTGGGAACTAAAAATACAAAACTGAAGACATAGTACCAGTCCTTCAAGACTTTACTGGGGAGATATATACAAGGTACAGGAAGAACACAGGAGAGTTGGCACCTGTTTTTACCTGAGAGAATCAGGGAAGGCTTCCTAGAGGGGTTGACAGTAGTAATGATAACAGCGATGGATAATAGTAGCCACAGTCAGGACTCTTGGTTGCAAGTGATCTAACTCAAACAAACATAAGTGGGAAGGGGAATTTATCACCTTACTGAGCAAAGATATGAGAAGTCCTTGCTTTAGGAGTGATTAGAATTAGGAAATCAGTACTCTTTGGAGGTCTTCTGGATTATATCTTTTGTTCTCTACTCTGCCCTACCACCCGGACTCCCTGGTCCTTTCCTTTCCCTGTCCTCTTACTCAATTTCTATTTTTCTCTGTTGGTTGGTCTCATTTTCTCAGACAGGCATTCACTTGGCAGGGCAGAAGTTCACCAGCAATCTCCATATCACATCCTTCCAGCTTCATGACCTTAAAGGCACGGTGTCATATTCTCCATCTCTAGTAGAAAAGTACCGGCACGCTTCCCTGACCTCCCATCCCCATCTCTGGGTCAGCTGCTGTGAACAGGGGGATTGCAGATTCTTCGATAAGCCGAGAGGTGCATCCTGGGCCCTGGGATAGAGGAAAAACTACTCCAGTGAAAGCAGGCCAAAAAAACCCCCACAATTGTTCATGTTCATTGAGAACTTGCCATGCCTCAGATACTGTATTACGTATTTTACATTGATTACCTCGCTCGGGTCTCACAGCTATCTTAAACAATCAAACAAAACAAACCCATTGCTGTTGAGTTGATTCCGATTCATAGTGACCCTATAGGACAGTACACCTGCTCCATAGGGTTTCCAAGAAGTGGCTGGTGGATTTGAATTGCTGACCTTTTGGTTAGCAGCCAGATGCTTAACCACTGTGCCACCAGGGCTCCACAGCTACCTTAGGAGCTCTTAATTAATTTTACCAATTAGAAGAAAGCCAAGGTATGTGAAAGTTAAATGATCTCTATGAGTTACATGGCTGGGTGGTACAATGGTTAAGTGCTTGGCCGCTAACCAAAAGGTTGGTGGTTTGAGCCCACCAGCTGCTGCTCTTAAGAAAAGACTTGGCAGTCTTCTCCCGTAAAGATTACAGCCAAGGAAACCCTATGGGGCAGTTTTACTCGTATCATACAGGGTTGCTATGAGTCAGAATCAACTCGACAGCACACAACAATAATACTAGCCTAAAGGTTGGCAACTCACACCCAGCCAGCGGCACTGCAGAAGAAAGGCTTGGCGACCTGCTTCCATAAACATTACAGCCAAGAAAACCCTATGGAGCAGTTCTACTCTGTCACACGTGAGGTTGCCGTGAGTCGGAATCGACTTGACAGCAACAGGTTTGGTTGTTGTTTTTTTTTTACAGAGCTAGTAAGAATCAGAGCCAAGATTCAAATTTGACCCAATGCTCATTTTTGGAGGGCTTGAAAGATTTTTTTTTTTTTTTTTTTGTCAGGAGGAGACATGGAGCATACATTCTAGGCAGAGGTATTGGGTAAAGGCATCGGGTAGCAGCATGACATGTCTGCAGAACTGTTGTTAGCTCAGCATTTCAGGAACACATTACAAAATAGGTGTGACGGTAAACCAGGCTGCACAGGTAGCCAGGGTTAAGACCATGAAGATCTTTTGTATTGTTCAGAGGCATATAGGTGTGTGTTCTGTAGAATTGGATGATGGAGAGCTATTGAAGAATTCCCTGGAAGGGAGTGACATGTTCTGATTTGTGTTTTATAGATATCACTGAGGCAGTAATCTAGAAAGGAGAGCAAGAGGATCTGACAGTGAGGATGGAGAAAGCGATCAATGAGAGAGATTTAGTAAGTAGAATCAATAGGGTTTACTGATGCTTTGGATATAGAGTAGAAGAAAGGGATGGCTCTTGAATTTTTGGATTGAGTATTTGATCAGAATTTAGGACATGGTTAAAACTAGCAATGAAACATTTGTAGTGGTACCAATTCAGAATGCTTGTGGAATCTTATTTACTAGCAGCATTCATAAATCTAGTTATAGGTACAGAGGAGCAAGTTGTTATTTAGCCCAGTTTTGAAGTTTTGTCAGGAAAAATCATTGTTACAACAATGGAGAAAGAAATACGGATAACAGGTAAAATTATTAGGCAAAAAGTATGAACGTGAAAAACTCATCCTCATCATGTATTTAGCACTGGAAGCATATCAGCAGTAAATTCTTTTAAACTTAGGAATAATGGAAATAGCAGCTGTGAGATATTAGTAGACTGTTAGAGAAGTTTTATGGAATCAAAGAATGATAGCTTACAGATCATTTAGTTCTGCATTCTTCCAGTGAATGTTAGCTATTCTATGCCCCGTGTGCTAGCACTTGCCTTTGTCTTGTAATTTTATTTGTTTAGAATTGTGTCCCTTACCAACTTGATGAGTCCTTGGACAGGGCCATTTTCATTGTCTTGATTACGAACTCCAGTAATCTCAGTAACAAGTACAGACTGTGTACACATACGTTAGGTACTCAGTGTTAGGTGGACAAACCTCTTCACTTTATAGAGGAGAATAAAAGTATTAATTACTTTTGAATACTCTGAAATATTATCAAAGTTCATGAAATCAAAGAGTTAACTTTTCACAAGAATAGGGTATACTGGTTACTTCCAGAGTGACAACTGTTTTTGGCTTGTGAACGGTTTAACTCGTGTGTGCCTTACTGGAGCTCAATGTGGAGGACGGCCATGGGTCTCATCTGGACCCCCCAGGGCACAGAACTAAGATGCACGGGCACAGGAGGGAAGTGTTGTGGGACCCTGGGCATAGGTGAAACCATGGCCATTTTTCTGTACATTCACATTAAAGCATTTTATTTTTTAACAGAAAACAACAGCCTTGACACAGATGCCCACTTTAAACCTTCACCTCAGCCAAGGAGCATGTTAAAAAACAATAGCCCTGGGGAAGAGAAAAACATACTAGGAGAAGATAAAGAAGTTATCCTCGGTGAAGAATTACGCTCACATTCTGCACCTTGTTCCCTCCCAAAAGTTGAGAAAAGATCATTCTCTGAAGACCTTGATCCTGAGGTTAGCACCATTGCTGAACTGTCAGATTGTATTCTTGAATTCAGGTGTTTTTTGCATCTGAATATTCCAGAGAGGGAGAGAAAAGATACCTGGCCAACCCTCCTTTTCTCATCTACTCCTCTGCAGCGTGGGTGTTTAAGGGTCTGCTCTCTGGAGATGGTACAGAAGGGGCCAAGAGGAGCTCCTTTGTACTGTGACTGAATGCATGAGTCTTTGTAATCCAGACCCCAAGTGTTAGGAAGCGCAATAGGCTACTGATTCAGATCTCGTTCTGCAGTTCTACTTTACCTGTAAAGGCAACAGTTTAATCTATGTCTGTCTAATTTACACGTTAATTTCTTAATTTGTTCTGAAAAATCAGGAGAGAAGAAGGTGTCATTTATTAAACCCAAACAATTATTTTATACCTAATAAAATTGTCTGGTTAATTGGATACCTAACTTTAAATGCTATTTTCTAGCATTTTTTATATCCATTGATTAAAAAAAAATACTCCTAAAGGTTTTACAATACATCATACTGTGACAAAATTTAATAGAAAAATACCTACTGATAATCCCGCCATCTAGTAACAACTGTGTTCGTTTTGCATCTTTCTAAGCTGTTTTGTACGTTTGTTTTATCATATTTTCCATCTCAGCTTTCATAGTATTTTGTATCATTCTTTTTGTTTGTTTCTTAGTGTTAGGTCGTGATGTGCTTCCGTGTTGCCAGATGATCTTGGACCACATTCACTTTAATGACTACAACATAGTCTATATCTTAGAATTATTCCCCAGTTGTTGAATGTTTTAGATACTTATATTTTTAACAATCTAAATTTTCCATATTTCTAATTTTAAAAATATTTTTGTGCTCTGAATCTTCTCTACTCCCACCTCCTCAGGGATGTCTCATCTAATTCTTATGCATCCCTTCTCTCTCAGCCTTGGCTTTTCACTGGTGTGTTTCCATCCACACTTGACTATGCTCAAGCCTCTTCAGTTTGAATAAAGTCTTGACACTGCATGCATCTCTCCCCCCGCTGCCTTATATTCCTGCAGACGTCTTGGCCGCATACTGAATGGGTGAGCAACATTTACTTTCTTGCTATATCTTCATCTCCCACCTTGCTTCAGCTTGCTGCAGACTGACTTCTCTCTTCATTGCTTTAGTAAAATAATTTCTGCTGTGATAACTGATGGCTGCCTAATTGCTAAATCTAGCGGGCTCTTTATAGTACTTACTTTGACCTTTTTTTAAGACAGTGTTTTCTCCTACAGTGAGATCCATCTCACCCCAACAAGGCTAGCATTAATCCAAAAAACACAAAATAATAAATGTTGGAGAGGTTGTGGAGAGACTGGAACACTTAATACGATGTTGGGGGGCATGTAAAATGGTACAACCACTTTGGAAATCGATTTGGCGCTTCCTTAAAAAGCTAGAAATAGAAACACCATACGATCCAGCAATCCCACTTCTTGGAATATACGGTAGAGAAATAAGAGCTGTCACACGAGTGGATATATGCACACCCATGTTCACTGCAGCACTGTTCACGATAGCAAAATGATGGAAACAACCTAGGTGCCCATCAACGGACAAATGGATAAACAAATTATGGTAAATTCACACAATGGAATACTACGCAACGATAAAGAACAATGATGAATCCGTGAAACATATCATGGAGGAATCTGGAAGGCATTATGCTGAGTGAATTTAATCAGTCACAAAAGGACAAATATTGTATAAGACCACTATTGTAAGAACTCAAGAAAAGGTTTAAACACAGAAGAAAACATGATGGTTACGAGGGTAGGGAAGTAGGGAGAAGGGTATTCACTAGCTAGATAGTAGATAAGAGTTATCTTAGGTGAAGGGAAGGACAGCACACACTACAAGGGAAGTCAGCACAACTGGACTAAACCAAAAGCTAAGCAGTTTCCTGAATACAGCTGAACACTTCAAGGGGCAGAGTAGCGGGTGGGGGTCTGGGGACCATGTTTTCAGGGGACATCTAGGTCAAATTGGCATAACAAAGTTGATTAAGAGAATGTTCTGCATTCCACTTTGGTGAGTGGCGTCTGAGATCTTAACAGCTAGAGAGCGGCCATCTAAGATGCATCAATTGGTCCCAACCCACCTGGAGCAAAGGGGGATGAATAACACCAAAGACACCGGCAAAGTATTAGCCCAAGAGACAGAAAGGGCCACATAAATGAGAGAATTCATCAGCCTGAGATCAGAAGAACTAGATGGTGCCCAGCTACCAGCAATGACTGCCCTGACAGGGAACACAACAGAGAGTCCCTGACGAAGCAGAAGAAAATTGAGGTGCAGAACTCAAATTCTAGTCAGAAGACCAGACTTTAATGGTCTGTATGAGACTGGAGGGACCCCAGAAGACACGGCCTCTGGACTTTCTGTTAGCCCAAAACTAAAATCGTTCCCGAGGCCAGCTCTTCAGACAAAGAGTAGACTGGACTGTGGGAAATAAAATGATACCCGTGAAGAGTGCTTAGCTCAAGTAGATACATGAGACTAAATGGGCAGCTCCTGTCCAGAGGTGAGGTAAGGCAGAGAGGGTCAGGAGCTGGTTGAATGGACACAGGAAATCAGGCATGGAAAGGAGGAGTGTGCTGTCACAGTATAGGGAGAGCAACTAGGGTCACATAACAATGTTATCAATTTTTGTATAAGAGACTAACTTGAATTGTAAACTTTCACTTAAAGCACAACAATAAAAAAAAAAAAAACAAACAAAAGACATTGTTTTCTCTGTTTGACGCTTGACCAATTCCTCCCTTGCAGACTCTCCTCTTGGATAATCCTTTTCTGTCTCCTTTACGGTCTCTGCTTCCTCTGATCCTACCTTAAATGTTGATGTTTCTCAGGCTCTGTTTTAGGCTCTGTTCTCTTCTTACTCTGTGCATATGCCTGGGCAGTTATATTGTTTACATGTCTGTAAATCTATGGATAGATGATTTTCATATGTTAAACTAACCTAGTATTCCTGGAATAAACTTTGGTTAATCATGTTATAATGTTATATTGTAGGATTTGACTTGGTAATATTTTGTTAAGACTTTTGCATCTATTTTTATGAAGGTTGTTGATTTATAATTTTTTTTTCCTATAATGGTAATATCAGATTTGTGTATCAAATGAGTTGTGAAAAGTCTCACTCTCCTTTATTTTCTAAAAGTTTGGTACCAGATCAAAACTTTGATATTTTTCCTACTTGAGATAATTCACCAGTAAAACATCAGACCTGGAATTTTACTTGTGGTGAAGTGTTTGACAATGAATTTATTTTATTTTTGATAGATATTTTGATATTAAGGTATCCTGTTTCATTAGTTTTGGTAATTTGTCTTTTAAGGAATTTATCCGTTTCATCTGGTAAGTTCAGTTTACAAACATGAAATTGTTCAGGATATTCCTTTATGATCCTTTTGATAAGAGTAGGGTTATAGTGACATTCCATCTTTTATTTCTAATGTATACATAATTTGTGTTTGATGTCTTTTTCTTGTTAAACCTAAATAGGCATTGCTCAATTTTTTCAATCTTTTCAAAGAACTACTTTTGACTTTGTTAATTTTCTCTATTGTTTGTTTCTAATTTATATATATATATATATATACACACACATATACATATATATATTTTTCTTTGGGTTTAATTTACTTGTCTTTTTCAGCTTCCTAAAGTGGGAAATTTGATAATTGCTTTTAAGCCTGTTATTCTTTCTATATATATATAGAACTATTGTAACTATGGAAAGCTATAAAATTCTCTTCTAAGAGCTGTTTTAGCAGCACCCCAATTTTTTTTTAATTGTGCTTGAAGGGAAAGCTTACAGTTCAAGTTAGTTTCTCATACAAAAATGTATACACACATTGCTATGTGACCCCAGCTGCTCTCCCTATAATGTGACAGCACATTCCTCCTTTCTGTCCCGGATTTCCCATGTCCTTTCAACCAGCTGCTGTCCCTTTTTGCCTTCTCATCCCACCTCTGGACAGGAGCTGTCCATTTCGTCTCATGTATCTATTTGAGCTAAGAAGCATGGTCTTCATGAATATCATTTTATATCCCATAGTCCAGTCTAATCTTTATCTGAAGAGTTGGCCTCGGGAATGGTTTTGGTTTTGGGCTAAGAGTCCGGGAGCCATGTCTTCCAGGGTCCCTCCAGTGTCAATCAGACCATTAAGTCTGGTCTTTTAAGTAGAATTTGAGTTCTGTGCCCCAGTTTTCTCCTGCTCCATCAGGGACTGTCTGTTGTGTTCCCTGTCAGGGTGGTCATTGCTGGTAGCTGGGCACCATCTAGTTCTTCTGGTCTCAGGCCGATGAAGTCTCTAGTTTATGTGTCCTTTCTGTCTCCCTGTGTCTTTGGTGTTATTCATCCCCCTTTGCTCCAGGTGAGATGGCACCAATTGATGCATCTTGGATGGCTGCTCCCTAGCTTTTAAGACCCCAGACGCTACTCACCAAAGTAGAATGCAGAGCATTTTCTTCCTAAACTTTGTTATGCCTGTTGACCTAGATGTCCCTTGAAACCATGGTCCACAGACCCCTACCCCTGCTACTCTTTCCCTCAAAGTGTTTAGTTGTATTCAGGAAACTGCTTAGCTTTTGGTTTAGTCCAGTTGTGCTGACTTCCCTTGTAGTGTGTGTTGTCCTTCTCTTCACCTAAGATAATTCTTGTCTATTATCTAGTTAGTGAACACCCCTCTCCCTCCCTACCCAACCTCATGACCGTCAAATAATGTTTTCTTCTGTGTTTAAACCATTTCTTGAGTTCTTATAATAGTGGTCTCATATAATATTTGTCCTGTTGCGACTCACTAATTTCACTCAGCATAATGCCTTCCAGAATCATCCATGTTGTAAGATGTTTCACAGATTCATCATTTTTCTTTGTCATTGTGTAGTATTCCATTGTGTGAATTTACCATAATTTGTTTATCCATTTGTCCGTCGATGGGCACCTAGGTTGTTTCCAACTTTTT